GGCTTCATCGTTCCTGAGTCTTGTAGGTTTCAGGCTCCGAGAGCATTCACTCACCTTCCGAAAAGCTCCGGAAAGCACTTGTATGAGAAGCATACCCAACTTCCCCAGGTTCCGGCCGTGCCGCGTTGCCCTTCAGCAAGGACGGTGACGCACGCCTTGTGCTGACACACGCTTGCAAAGTGGTCCGTTCAACGACTTCGGCTCGTTCTCACTCAGCCATGTGCAGTCCAATGGGCAAGTCTGTCCCTGTTATTATCATTGATATTCTTGCAATGAAGTTGCTGTCTGCCCTGTCTAGGCACGCTTTCCTCAAAATTGCAGCGTCGCGGCTATTCGCAGTCGGCGCGAGGAGGAGCCCGCCGCAGGCTTGGGGACCTCCTCGTCGCACGCCGCGTTTGCGGAGCTTGCCAGCCAGAAGGGCGGCCAATGCATAGGGTTTAGGGTTTAGGGTTTAGGGTTTAGGGTTTAGGGTTTAGGGTTTAGGGTTTACAGAGCCCACCAGTAGAAAGTGTTTCGAGTCCTGCATCGTCACGCTCGGAGCGGTGTTCATTCAGCTGATTGGTTGCCTTCTACGGCAGAACACACTTGATCACCCGCACTTTAGTTTGAACTCCTGATGGTTTCCCGTTGCTGTCGGCCGGATGTGTTCTGCAGCAGCTAGTTCCACAGATGAAGATTTAAGTAAGGTTGATGTCAAAGCTCTCGGCGCTTGTCAATGTCGACGTCGGGTGCCAACATGCATCGCCGGTCTTCGTGGGCAGCCCCAAGCAACATGTCGCTGAGTTTCGGAGATCCTGTGCTCTCCGCACCTGTCCAGAGAGATCTCTTCATGGAATTGCGGCACAAGTACATGAATGCAAGCATCCTCGATCTTGCCTGACAAGTATTGCTGTGGGTGGTGCCGACGCTGGCACTCCCTGTAGAGCTTGCTGCAAAGCTGAGTATCGCAGTTAACGGCATGCCGCCAGCAGTGCCGAGGAAGGGAGGCATGCCTGTGAGGCTAGAGTCAACCGGAAGACTGCAGTCAGAGGCATTCAGACCTGACTGATGATCAGGTTGCAAGTTCCACCACTCCTGTGCTTCGTTGTCGGGAGGTAACTGGGACGGAGCGGTGAGAAGCCGCCGGGCGCCGCGAGCGAAACAGCTTGCAGCGAGACTGGAGTGGCAACAAGTTCGCGAACCCACTGCGCCCGAGCTGCACAGGGAGGGACGGGGAACTGTGGTTTGTGAAAATTCTCGGCCGTATTCGCCATGCCATCCCTCCTCCGCAACTCTGATTTACGGAAGTCGCAGGAGAACCTTCGTAGCAAATACTTGCATGGCTCGCACTCGACTGCTTTTTCTTTGTCAGCTGCAGCCTGTTTCGATCCGTCGCAATCGTCGATCCGTCGCTCCGCGTCGGCCGCCTCACCAGAAAGCGTCGCTGCCTTGAGCCGTGGGGCGAGAAAAGACAGGGTCATCCTGTGGTCTCTCAGTCCTCTCCTACAGCATTCGAACAGCATGTGGCCTAGGCAGCTAATTCGCTCATCGGTTCACCTTGCTCTTTGAGCAAACTCACGGTCACCAGTGCTCCCAAAGTGTCCCGACCGCTTCTATGTCGCCGATCATGTATGCTCACAAGCTATGCTTGCCAGAAGCGGCACAAATGCAGGCTGCTGGCGGGCGCGTTCAAGCGTGGACTATAGGTACAGACTGGCGACCCACACACGCTCCCCAAGCAAGGCCGCATGCACTATGTCAGGTCCGCGCTTGAAAGATCCTCAAGCCCAGGTCCCGACGTAGGCAGCAAGAAGCTTGTGAGGTATTCGTCATGCAGCCCCTCTAAACCCTAAACCCTAAACCCTAAACCCTAAACCCTGGTCAGGCAAGCACTCTGTGGCTAGCAGGGGCAGAGGATGCATTTTCAAGGCTAGGCCTTCTGTCTCTGCGAGATGTCCTGGATTCACGCACCATACCGCGAGGCTTTTGTAGCCAAGGACAGCAGTGCCATGACAAAGATTGAAGCTTTCAAGCCGATCCGTGCCTGGGGGCTGAACTCGACTGGCAACCTTTTGTTGCAACTGCTGGTAGGATCGAGCTCTGCTACAAGCGCTCATCAAAACAGCAGTCCAGACACGCCGCTTCTGCAAGGCTTTTTTGGCAGAAGCAAGGTCATGAAGACAGCCTGACCATGGAGCACAAGCGATAGCATGCGATAGCATGTCGTTTTCCTGTACAGTCCGGGACAGGATATCCCACACGGAGCAGCCGGTCTTGGTGCAGAAGGAGCTCGGGCGATGTGTGGCCCCGCGGCTCAGCCCGTCGGGGCTGGGAGATCCCCCGGCGGGCCCTTTCGCGGATGTGCAGTGAGTGCCATGTCTGACCCAGCTCGGACCCCCGCAGCCGCTGTGCCCGTGCCTCAGCCGCGGGCTGGGCATCATGCCGTCATCATGAAGCAATAGGATCTGAGTGCGGCAGGAGGTGAGCCGCAGAAAGCGTCGCCGCAGACAGCCGAGGGTTGGCTCATGATGTGTATGCTGCTCGGGCACGTGACACTTTCTGTAAATTATCGCTTCAAGGATGAGCAAGGGAGCCTATCCCGCCTTGACAGGCACAAGCTACAGCCCAAAGGCTAAGGATCACTGACGAGTCAGCAGTATCTGGCACACACGTGCTGACCCTGCCAAGAAGCGCAGATGTTGGCAGCCGCCTCTCCCTCCCTCTGCCTGCGCCCTTCCATGCTCGCGAGGTTGCCGCCCTTTCCCGGTCGCTCGGCGGTGTGAGACGGGCAGCCCCGTGAAGCGGTAGGAGGAGATGTGCGCGGATCGCAGTGAGCCGTCGGAAGCGCCGTGGCAGAAGGCCGCGGGCAGCGGAGCCGCTCACAAGGAGGCGACTCAGGAATTCGCACTAGCCTCGTTTGCATTACCGGCAGACGGATTCCGTAATCCTCACAAGTCCTCCAAGCAAGAAGGCCGTGAAGCGCTTCACGGCGGATGACCTTGATGGAGTTGGCGGAGTCCCAAAATCTAACATGTACCGGAAGATGTCACAAAATGGGAGCAGGCGGGGCCGAGTTGCAGTGCTTGACGAGGCCTTCGCGACAGAAAAAGACCGTGACTGTGCTCCAGAACATGGTATAGGTCCAGGTGTTCGGGTTTATCCCTCGAATCTCTCATTATTTGGCGGAAAGGCAGGATGCTTTGGTCTCTGATGGTGCGTGCTAGTTCATTGGCTTTGAACCGTACCGCTTTGAGTCTGGGCCATCTCGGCTTTTAGGGCGAGTTGAGTCATGAGGGATACGGAGGTTTTCTCATAGAGCCCTCAAAGATGTTACCAATGCTAACCTCCCAGACCCAAAAGCCCATCAAGCCCTAAACCCTAAACACTGAACGCCCAAGCCCTCAATCTCTAGACCCCGATGGTTTGCCTCGTGAATTTGTGCCTTTCTCTGCCGATCCTGCCGTCCATCTCGCTGATCTACTCCAGCTGCTCCAGCTCCTTCCTTGCACGATGTAGCTCTTCCTTTCGGGCTGCGGGGGCTTAGGGCTTCGGCTAGGGAAGGGCAGCTTTACGCTTTACGAACTGCTGACTGGCTCGCGTGACATCTCGAAGGGCCATGCTGGAGAGTGCTCCCGGCCTCACATCTTCACGACATTGGCAGAGCGCTACATTCCTTGCGGTAACTTGAGCCCTCCGAAAAGCCGATCAACACGAAGCCTTCAGCATAGGTGCCAAGTTCTTCGGATCCTAAGAGCTCCCAATAACAGAGACCCCGGATTCTAAGCTGACAAAAAACAATGGCAGTAATAGTAGTGTTAGTAATATCCATAGTACCAATAGCGATGTAATATTAAATGCGAATAGTAATAACAATAACAATACAAATAATAGCAAGAAGAATAAGAATGATAATACTAATACTAGTAGCGGGTAATAGTACGCAAGACTTCGTTTGTTCCCGAGGCCCCGAAGCCTGCGGAGAGCACTTGGCCCGCGACCCAGAGGACGTGGAGGCTTGGATCCTCGGTCCGCAGGACGAAGAAAAAGGCGGGTTCTGTTGGGAACTCTTTTGGGTTTAGGGTTTAGGGTTCAGGGTTCAGGGTTTAGGGTTTAGGGTTTTAGGGTTTAGGGTTTAGGGTTTAGGGTTTAGGTGGCAACTCTTTTGTGTGTGAATGTCATATGTTCTACCATCGTACTAGTATAGTATATAGCAAATCGTATATGTGGCACTCTGCTTTCATAGAATAGAATCGTACGTATACCATAGTACAGAGAAGGTGTTGTGTTGCAATACATTGTGCATGGTGACGAAGATAACGTGATCATGATGTTCGTTACTTGAGGAGCATCGTCACCGTCGTCATCACCATCATCACCACCTTCATCATCACCAATGAATCATCTTCGATCGCCACGATGGTTGTTGCCGGTCCTATGGTGTTCTGCGTGACCCTTAAGGGGATGGGTGCAGGTACTAGCATGCTGCGGCGATCCTGCCCTCTCTTATTTGGCTTCTCCAACAGTCCTCCTAGACCAAAGGAGATCAACAGAAGGTTTGGTTTATGCCCGGATAAGGCTGCACCCTCTCTGCACTCGCAGTGAACCTAAAGGGTTTGTGTCCGAACTTTCAATTCTCCCCGTCAATGCTAGGCAGCCTCTAGGCCCCAAGCAGACATCCCCAGGAAGCGATCTCAGGATGTGGCTCTCCTACTACGGAGGGGGGGTGAACGCCTCCAAAGTTGCAGCCCAGTGCGATGAGAGGGCGCTGGAGCTGGAGGGCTCCAGAGTGGCGCCTTTGCGTGGAACGCCCTGGGCTTTTGTACGGCGGCGGCCGGGTGCAGGGTATGTTTTACAGCCCGAAGAGCTGCTTTGAGAAGGCTTTGGAGCTGAATCCCAGGGATGCGAATGCCTGGTGCAACTTGGGGAACTTGGGGGGAAATGCGAGCTACATGGAGATGGCCTGCTACCTAAAGGCCCTGGCCGTGGACCCCCAAAACGCCGTGGCTTGGTACAACCTGGGCCTCCACGGAGGGCTGCAAGGGATGACAGAAGGCCAGTGCTTCTGGGGTGTTCTTGGAAATGGTTTTTGAGTTTTAAGGACTATAATCCCTACATAACCATATATAACCCATAAGAATTTAAGTATTATAGGGCTTCTGAATCCGGCCCAGGCTTTCGGAAGGCCAAGAAGGAGTTTGAGGGAAAGCTGCAGGTCGATGCTGCGAGCTTGAGCCTCTCCGTGACGGAAGAGGACTTCCGAAGTTTGGCCCAGGAGCCACTGGAACACCCCTGATCCTAAATCCAACTCGGACTCTTCAAACGCCCGCGATATATCCGGCACTTTGCATCCTACCAGTAGAACACTTCACGAGCCTTTTTTTTCACCATACCACAAATCGTCGGCCCCTTCTTTGCCCTAAAGCCTTGCCCAGGAGCTGTTCCACGGGAAATCGAGCCAAAGCTTCGAGGAGGCCACGTGTCGGCTCTTCGGCACCTGCCATCCGCCCTCCAAGGATTGCCTGGAAGAGGTGCCTTTTTTAGGGACTGTTTTTGGGGTGCGTTCTCGGGTTTTGGGGGGCTCTATGACGGTGTGGGGAAGAGGGCTTTTTGCAGGAAGCGACCGTGGCGACTTCAGGACTTCAGTGTTTCGGGCTCTTCTGCGGCAGAAATGACAGCAAGGCCCCTGAAGTTCTTGCGGGGAGCTCCCCGGGACCAGTCCGGATGGGGCTCGGCTTCAATTTCAATTCCAAGCCCGGGGCCCAAACTCGAAGCTCTCTATGCCATAATCGGGGAGAGCAGCTCGGGTCAACCCTAAACCCTAAACCCCCAGAATCCATGAGGCGCAGTCCCTGTCCCTTTCCTGGCGGCGCCAGCTGAAACAGAAGCATCCGGAGGTCCCGGCCAAGGCTCCTTTGGGGCTTCAAAAAGAAGCCTTACAAAAGGAGTATCTAAGGGTCTTCGTATCAAGGAAGCTACTCAATCTGTCTGTCCATATATGTGTATATATACATACATACATACATACATACGTATGTCTATTTATCTATCTATCTATCTATCTATATCTATGTCTCTCTCTCTCTCTCTCGAGCTCTCTTTAGCTACCTGACCTGCAGATATGTTGTTGTTTTGGGAGTCGCTGGAAGGCCCTGACTATGAGGCTCGTGTTAAGAGGAGAGGCCCCTATAAACACACTTGATCAGACTCCGTTAGAGAAGCATCCCCGTCGTCCTTGGGGCTTTGGAGCTTAGCGTTTCAGGATGTTTCAGGATTCTTCGGTTTGGGGTTTTAAGCTTTGGAGTCTCAGTGTTGAGAAAGCCCGTCAAACAGATCGGGCACCCTTAAGGTCAACAAGATTCTCGAACCTTTCAGACTCAAGGACAGGACAAACTCCGTAATTAAGGAAGAAACATTCTTCATGCGTGGGGTTTCATGGAGTCTCTGGGAGAGGTTTCCGAGATGGTGGTGGAGGGTGCGGCGGTGGCGCTCATGAAGCCCGCTGACTCTTCTGCAGTCTTCAGCCGCTCTGTCGTGAAGGCCGGAGCTTGTCGGAGGGGTTTAGGGTTTAGAGTTTAGGGTTTAGGGTTTAGGGTTTAGGGTTTAGGGATTCATCGACGTTGCTAGTGCTTGTTTGACTTCGTTCCTCTCTTAGCACAGCCGCAGGAGGCGGTGTGCACGGCCAAGAGCAACTGGCAGTTGGAGAGGCGCCGCCACCCTTCCAAGGCCGGCTTAGGGTTCAGGGCTCAGAATCCAGGATGTGGGCTGAGAGGTTCAGCTGGCTGAATTTGGCTGGGGTTTAGGGTTTAGGGTTTAGGGTTGCTGTAGATGCATGTCCCTTCTATCTGTGCCCTATGCCTCAGACAGGCTGGGGGATGTGCCGTGCGAACCGCGCGACCCCAGACCCAAGGCTGGAACCCTCAACGAACTGAAAGGCTTCCATGGGCCACCAGCTGACCTCAGGGCCGCCCACCGCTTGAAACACCGGACTTCTCCCGCCAGAAGCTTCCAAACGCAAGTCTCCTGAGAAATCTTCAACCTAAACCCTAAACCCCAAACCCTAAATCCTAAACCCTAAACCCTAAACCCTAAACCCTAAACCCTCCCAGCCAGGCCCGTCGGCTCCTGGAGGATCCCTGCGAATCCGTGGCGAAGCTCTGGAGCCTGGGGCCCAGGGCGACGCCAGGAGCGGATCCAAAGAGGGGAATGGGAATGCGGGGTCCTTGTACTGGGGTTTCTTATTTAGTAATTGCAATGAAAGAAATGGGGTTTCTTATTTAGTATTTGCAATGAAAAAATGGGGTTTCTTATTTAGTATTTGCAATGAAAAAAAGGGGTTTCTTAGTCTTGTGTCCCTTTTCTTCCTGGCATTGTCTTGTTGGCTCTTCCAACGGGTGTTCAGGTGTGTTTGGGTTACGGTTCGGGTCGGAAGTCGAAAAGCTTGGCAGTCTTCATCCAGCCGCTGACCATAAAGTCCCATCACGTAAAGTCTCTAATATACAGAAGTACTGTTTTTCCATGAGGTTTCCACGGAAGGATTGAGGGTTGGGTCGAGCACTGGTATTGCTTGGGGTTCCTTGTTACACTTAGACCATCTATAACGTACCGCAAAGGCGTGTTCGAAATACTGAGGCCTCGCTTGTATACAATGGTGATTATTCGTGATCAAGGTTATGTCCGCCACGAGCTCTGGTACGTAAGTCTTGCGGCCCTATTCTTGCTGTAGTGTGTATCTGGCTCTGCGTAGGTTCGCCTTTGTTTCCGCTTGTGGCTCACGGCACCGCAACCCTCCTAAACCCTAAACCCTGAGCCCTCAGCCCTAAACCCTAAACCCAACTAAACCCTACTCGACCCAAATAAGCGCCCTAAGAAGCCCCAACAACCCCAAACAAGCCCCCAATGCACCCCAACTTAAACCCTAAGCCTTAAAGCACCAAAGCAGTCCCCGCAGACGTCGGCACCGTCCGGAAAAGCTCCCAAACCGTCTCACGACAAAAACAGGATTTAGGTGTTAGGGTTTAGGGCTTCGGGCCTAGGGTTAAGCAGTTTGGTGTTTACACTTACGGTTTAGTAGTTAGGGTTTTCTCGACTCTCTGGCAAAGCATCTTGCTTTAAACAGCGGGAAAAACGTTTGGGAATCAGGCTTCATTATTCTGGATGATCTTGTCTTTGAGCACTTGCACAGGACCGCCGAAACTTCAAACCATAAAGCCGTCAACACGCACAGGCCTAACCTTCAAGCTTTCAGCCCGAGGCCCTAGACCCAGATCCCAAGACCCCTGTCATCTTCTTGTAGGGTTTAGGGTTTAGGGTCCCTTAAGCCCGAAGCATGCCTGGAGGACACAGGCTCGGTCTCATCCTTGCTTCGTGCACGGCGGCGGTGGCGTTCTTGTCTCTATCCCTCTCCGTCCTCCTCCTCTGCAGGTGCCCCGCCGGATCCAAAAAGGACACAAGCATGAGCCGTTGACGGGGATATCCATTCCCTCGTTGGGCCAGTTGAAAGGGGGCGTAAATGATAGTCCTAGCCAGAGTTTTGCTCATTAAAAGACAGACACAATACGCTGTTTGTTACACAGCATACATAGATGTGACAAGCAAGTCTCCA